CACACACACACACACACACACATTATCACCCAGCTTTGGTTTATAACTCTTATCAGCAGTGGAGTGTTTTACACAGTTCACCTTTAATACACACACACACACACACACACACACACACACACACACACACACACACACACACACACACACACTTGTGTACGGACTAGCAGAGTGAAGTTTTGTGTTGCATGCTTGTGTAACTACACAAAGATTAAGACACTTGTGAGTTTGGAGATTTGACAGAAGACACTTCACCACTTCGCTCTGCGGCTGCAGCTCAAGGACTGATCTCTGACATTGTCATGTAACAGCTTGGCCCAATTTCACGTCCTGTGTGTGTGTCTGTGTGTGTGTGTGTGTGTGTGTGTGTCTGTGTGTGTGTGTGTCTGTGTGTGAGGCTTCAGCAACTTTAAACCTTGACCGTTTCCCAGTCTCTCGGGGAGAGAGGCAGATGATGAGATGAAAACTTTTATTTTTTTGTTTTTTTCTTTCTTTTCGAAACTAAAATAATGAAAACTGTAAAATCAGAAGCTCGAAGCAGAGAATCATGTGAGTGATCTTTACTTCAGTCATTTGATCAAACTGGAAAAGATGAATTTAAAGTTACACTGCGGTTGGAATCTGCTGCCAGTCACAGGTCTACTCATCATAACTTTCTGAATCTATCGCCACAAACAATAACAAATGAATTGAATTATAATTCTATTAACTGCTCTTTGCATCATTCCTCTTGTTAAAAGTTTGTTTTTTGGTAGTTTCACTTTCATTGAGGGTTAAAAACAATAATTACTAATTTTGATTTTATAAAATCCACGAGTTTAAATTTCACGCCTGTGTGTTTTTCAGGCAGCGGTTTCGGTAAAAAAGGCCGAGAGCTGAACACGGAGCGAGACTTCTTCATGAGGATGAAATGCACGGTGACCAACAGGGGGCGCACGGTGAACCTGAAGTCGGCCAGCTGGAAGGTGAGAGAGTGGTTAAATGGTAAAGTGACACAACGGAACCAAATTATTGATCGCCCCCCGGTGGCTGGCTCCAAGTTTAGCTCTTAAACCCCACCTCCTCCATGTTAGCAGATGGGACATGGACCCAAAGTAGACGTTGAATAAATGTTTGTCAAAGAGGGTTTCTGGCATTTTCGGTCGTTTTTTTTGTTCAAATATTTCAAGTTTCTAAACAAACAAACATTTGAACAAAGAATAATTTGACCACCTGAGATCCGCCGATATAATATTTAGAAGCTTGAAGAGGAAATGAGCCATGAATTTTACAACAAAAGGCAAAGATCAGATAAAAGTCTGAAAAACAGACGTCCTTTTTTTGTTTCCTGCTTCGTGTCCTGTTAACGATGACGCAGAGGAAGCGTGCAGATCAAAAGTAACGTGGTCGTGCAAACTTGTGGAAAAGAACAAAACATTTGGCCGCAAAGGCCCAAAAACTCTCAAGTCTCCTTCATCCTGAGTTTCTCTGTTTTCTTTCCGCTCCAGGTTCTGCACTGCACCGGACACCTGAGGATGTACAACAGCTGCCCTCCCAGAGTGCTTTGCGGCTTCAAGGAGCCTCCGCTCACCTGCGCCGTCCTGATGTGCGAACCCATCCCGCACCCGTCCAACATCGACACGCCGCTGGACAGCAGGACCTTCCTGAGCCGACACAGCATGGACATGAAGTTCACCCACTGTGACGAGAGGTGGGCAGAGACACACACACACACACACACACACACACACACACACACACACACACAGACAAACACACACACACCTGCCTCTGAAAACAGATGACCCTCTGATTGGCTGCAGGAGATTCTTGTTTAGATTGATGTAAAAATAAAAGTAGAAATATTAAGAACATTCATCCTCTGTGATGACATCATTGCGTTACGTGCGATCAGTGGCGCCGGAGGAGCAGAGAAACGTTTTTTAAATTTTTTTCTCTAAAGCAACAAAATATGAGAAGATTAAATAACTTACGGAGATGAAAGAAATATTCATGTTCTGATAAATGTTTATGATTTATTATGATTAACTGATCTTGTAGCCGGACGGGTTTTAGAGACAAGAAGAAGAAGAAAAAAAATCTGAACAACACTGGAGGAACATTTCTTCTGATTATTTTTGTTTTTCTTTATAACTCATCCATCGTCGCCAGCGGACGATTCCAGAGCCTCAAATCTCGTCTCGCTTGGAATTTCTTATTTTTTTTCTTTCTATGAAAACAACCAGTCAGTTTAACGTGATAAGAAATAACAGCAAACCTGAAATCAGAAAATATTCTCATACATCAATACCAAGAAATGAATAGATTTCATTTGAAGACAGACGAGAATTAGAGACAGAACATCTTCACCCTGCAGAGCGGTGCCAGTAGACACACACA